GTCGATTTAGATAAAAAGAGACTGTCGATTAAATTTATCAAAAAGTACAATCGACAGATGTGGGTTTTAAGATCACCGCACATTGGTGCCGATCACTGGCACCAAAATTAAAACTCGCAGACAAGAAAGGAAGACCTTCTTTTGTTAAAGCGAACACGAGTAGAAACTGGGGAAAGGTGAATGCAGTTTTTGTGGCAAATCGATCATGATGCGAACGTGCTTTTATAATGCGTGGAAAAAGTTGTATAGTTTTTGTTTCGAGCAGTATATAGTATATAGATACTGTAAAAAATTACAACAACGATATTCAATGGATCAGAAAGTTTACAAGATGAAATCTTGATCCAACCATGTTTTACATACCAATGTAACATACCAATCTAGTTAACAATATTCCATTATTAAATAGAGAACCATAGAGAATATGTGAGAAATACTAGTTGAACGGATTTTTATAAATAATCGTTGGTATACAAGTATACAGAATCAAAAATTGTAATTGCTAATGTTTCAAACAGAATTGACGAAAGCATAATCAAAAATCTAGTTATAAGTATTTATTCTTTATTATTTGAGTCTCTACTATTTATTATTTAACGCGTAGGAATGGAAACACGATGAATTGTTAATAACTTTCTGTCTGTAAAATAAAATTATTTCTGTTGACAGATGATACGTTTATGAAATATTGATTCGACAGCAGTCGCATTAGGTTAGCTACTTATTCAAATAAATGAACGGTATTGTTGTTAACATTTATTTTTACGATACTATTTAGCAGAAAGAAACAATTTTATGGCCGTTATTTATTTCTGGAAAGCCAAATTATTAAAGTTTTATAGAGTTGATAAGCTGTCAATTCGTCCCTGGTAAACATTTTTAATACTTATACAAAATTTGAATATAATTGGAAGGAAATTAAGTGAATTTTTTGGTGGGAAAAATTTCATATAATTGTGTTGCGAGTTTAGTAACATAGATTTTGAATCGAAGATTTACGAATGTCCATTGAATAAAACAAAAAATAAGTACGTGAAAGAATGCATTTTTTAGTTATTAAAAAGTGACCCTAATTCGGCGACTTATTTTTGGTAGATAAAAAATTTAACAGTGTATTTGTATTTAATAATTGTTTCATTGACGAAACTACGTGTCTGGATGCATAAAATCATACACAAATTTGTTTAAATACATTTATATATAAATATTTATGGTGTAGATGCTCACAGCACTCGGTGCATCCGACCTACTTTTCTCCTTTTATACCATTCGATAATTGTTTCGTATGAAACATTTTAGGAATGTTGAGAACAATGTAAAGAAACAAAATTAGACACTATGTCATTTTCTAATACGATTGCCACTATTAGATGAAATATGACAGTACGAGAACATCGTTCATAAATAAAAGCGGTTAAATAACAATGGTACTATTAGCTATGTTAGATGCTGAAATATATCTTCAGATATGTACTACAGTGCACTACACGGGGAGAAACAAAGCGTTACAAAGGTCTGCAGTAGCAACGAATTAATTTATTTTTACTTTCAGCCCACTATCGATGATTCTACTATTTTCAATTCTCATCAATAAAGCTGCAACACTTAACATCAGAAAATGTGTAATTAGAGCGACGAAGATTAGGCACTCTACTTTATTTATGATACACATCGCACGTACTATAAGTATGGTGTCGAAGTCGATCGTCGATGTACAAGCGAGACTCTTTAGGTACGCAGGAAGAAAAGATTCGAAAGAAAAAGTTGCTATGCGAAATTCGACTGGAAAAATTCAATCGAGAAAGAATTCACCACACTTTACACAGAGAATGCGACTAAACTTTAGCAATACTAAACTTTAACAACATTGTTAAAGAAGGAGAGAAAATTCTTCGAAGGAACAAAACATTCGTAGGAAATTGGTAATTCTACGAAAACCATTAATTTGTTTAAAGACAATACATGATTTTGCACACGATTACGCGCACATTATTTCACGAATATCATTAATTTTTAACACACATGTTACATTATAACAAAGACGTGACTAACAAAATCTGATCCGCGATATAACTAAGCCAGCCGATACTACATCAATGAATAAAAACCTAATTATTATTGTTATTACGGACGAGTTTTCTTCATGCGAAGACGGGCTCTACTGTAAAAGGAAAATTACGTCATTAAAATGAACAAGTACAAACTCGTCAAGTCTAAAACAAGGAACCGATTATTTTTATCACTGACACTGGCGGATATTCATGGAGCGGAACCGCCACGTCACCGACATGTCCGAATGGTCCATCGTTCGCTTGGAAAACAAATGAACATCTCATTTCTATCAATCGTAATAAATAATAAATCATTGCTTCTTGTAAAATGTACACGTTTCCTCGCCGAATACGTGCACATTTATTTGTTATGTTACAAATGTTATTCTTTCTACTTCATGGAAAAAGAAACGACTTCTATACATTACAAAAACATGAACTGCAAGGAAAATCACAAAAGTATGTCTGTAGATAGTAAAAGAAGAAAGTGAATTGATTTTAACAGCTAACAGAATAAACTACTGTATGTTGCTCTATTAAAGTTGACATTACAATGAACGAACCCTAAACGCGACCAATGTGTATATTGTTTTGTAACAATGACAGATTTATAGATAGATTTATTTAAACTTCGCGCTTCGTAAACGTCTTATTGTAATTTATTCTCAAACGAAGAAGTTTATCTACAAATTTCTCATGGAAACATTTTTACAACATCAGAGATTATAACAGAAAAAATGAGACATGTTAATTATAATTAGATTCTGCGGGTCTTTATGCAAAATAAAAATTGTGCAAGACGATTTTAAAAACAGAAATTGAAATGAATTGTTTCTTTTAATGATTTCGACAAGTTGAACATACCAATTTTATTCACGTACAAATATTATTCAATTCTTCTCATGTGTTGTCTTCATAATCTTATATTTCAGCTACTCATTTTTGCCATGAATTCATAAAATCTACAGTCTAGTTATAATGTTAATTATATAGTTGATAACCATCGTGCATTGTTCCACGAACGAACCAAATAAATGAATCAAAAGAGCTTGACACGAGTATCTACAATATATTCTATAGGTCGCTCAATATGTCTAAAATACATAATAATAGTCAAACGATAATATAAATTTCTTTATATAAAACTTGTATATATAAAAATTCCTTCAATCGATTCGTAGAATCTTGAATCTTAGACAACGTCTTGAACGTGACCTGACCTCCAATAACTAATTGCTTCTTTTAAATCGTTCGAGCGATCGTCTATTCTCTCAGAATTTGCCTAACAAAAGCTACAAGTGCAACTTGCTGCATTCGCTGCTGCATCCCCAAGTTTAATTTCACAACAGCGCGAAAGCTTGAGTTTAGAACACTCGACTTACCCCTTTTAAGCCTGCGAACAATAGAGCATCGATACAAATGAAGGACGCAAATGCTACTGTCAAATGCTTCTAGGATCAAGAAATTGCAAGAGAACAAAGCTCCAGCATCGTTGCATTAATAACATCGGCGCTGTCGCATTATTTCAACGAAACACCGTAGAAAACTCCATTCGAATTCCCCTGCGATCGCGAGAACCCGCGCAAACTTACCCCGGGCGCTGCTGTGTCCGCGTTAGCTAGGGGATTATGTTCCTGGTTAATCTAACCACGATTATGTCCCGGAGGAACAACGGTGTAATTGTGCCGTATTTATCGCGAATCATGTTGAGGCGGATGTTCGGCAAGAACGTATACGTACGTACGCGAGATTTCTTAAGGCACACGATGCGCATTACGCGCATTCCATGTACATACATATTATAAATGATTCTGCACAAGTTTTCGTTAAGAAGTATAGCCACACGAGAGATTTCACGCAATCCACAGAGCTCTTGACATGCGTATCGAGCAGCAGAGACACGAGCAGTTTGAAAATTTGTTGTTAATCGCCCGATAAGTTTTCATTTCTTTCTTCAAGCAGAGATCTCCGTGGGCAAGAACGATAGGTCCACGGAAATTTCACAGCAGGATTGTTTCTCTACCGAAATATGATCGCAAAGTGACGTTGTTAATGCGATGAAGCGTGTCGTAACTAGACCGCGGATCTTTGCGCAAAATAAAAATTGTTTACGCCGATTACAGAAAACGGGAAACATTTAACTCTTTTGAATAATATTAGTGAACTAATATATCAATACTATATAATATATCAATGTAGTAATATGTATCAATATATCAATATCAACTAATATATCAATATTTTTAAATTCTTTTCGGCTGTCCACTGTTTCAGATTGGAGGCACAATTAGACTGCGGACTTTCATGAAAAAATAGTCTGCGCCAATTGGAAGATACGGGATACGAGTTCAAAATAAGAATGTTTACATGGTTAATATTCGATCTATTCGTTTCCCTTGCAAATGCATAAAATTCGTGGTCTAGTCAGAACATAATTTCGATAATGATGCTACCCTCTTTAGTACCAATTGCACAGATAAATTGTCTTTAAACGGTGGCCGGACGCAACGCATCTGTGTACAAGAGAAAAGCTAGTCCATAAGGGATGTATATGTCGCGGAAACGCATCAATTAAAAAGCGACACTAATGAAAAGAAGGTCATTTAAAACTCGAGGGAAGACTATTCGTTTCGACATATCATGATCGGAACAAATTTACCCGTGTCAATCAAAAGCACCGCGTAAATTTTCCCTGAAATTTTGTTTCGTTCGAAGTATATCGAGATGGCTTTAGCTTGTAACATGCGTGGATGCGATGTAGCAATAATTCTGTAAAATTGTGCGCGTGCTGCACTGTTCTACAAGTGGAGTGTTGCTCGGAAATGTTTGTAAGAATGATCCAAAGGCTATCGATTCTAAAGCGCATTTTGGTTACTTGCCGTGGATTGTTGCTTCGAATACAGTGGAACGAAGTGAGATAAATATAGGAAGTTGAAATTGATTAATTACCTCGTCGTCGTAAATGTTATCGTGATCTGCCATTGAAAATAGAAATTGATTTTCTGAGGATAGTGTTAACTTAGAGAGTAATCAATAGGATGTTATGCTCTCCTGGAATAACGACGAAAAATTATAGCACTCCGCGATGTACACAGGATATACACACTCACATAAGTAGAACAGAGAGAGAGAACGAGAGCGAGAGAGAGAGAGAAAGAGAGGGAGAAAAAAAGATCGAAAGACAGACGGTGGTAATTCTTTGTAACTGGTTTCCGTAACGATACGACACGTTCTTTGACTTCCACATACACCGTGAGAATTTCTGGTACTGCTAGGAAGATTGTCTCCAATGATGCTGCGGGAATGAAGCCTGCGCGTTTTGGATGCTGCGCGCTACCATCCGCTTCTTTAGCGTATCCTTTTTTCGCTTATTTTAACGCGAATAGGATCATTATGTTAAGATCAACCATGGACGTTAACATTTTACACGTTCACAAGCGACGAAGAACGATTTCACCGTGTTGCGTATAATCTGTCACGATACTGCTTCCTTCGAGAATTTCGTTTTACGAAAAATAAAAAAAAAAAACAGTAACTATTATTTAAACTGAGAGAAGGAGTATCTGCGTAACAATCGTAACGGTTTGATCAATCCCTTTCGTATTAAAAAGCAAGCACGACTACTCCGCGCATACATGTATTGTCTCGGAAGCTATAAATTGATTGTGTTTCTCACGTTTCCAGAAAGTTTTCCTAATCATCCCTCGATTACTCGAACCAGTTTTCATCGTACTTACGAGTTCGATAATATTCTACTTACGCGTACGTTTAAAGTATACATTTTTCCAAAAAATTTTCTAATGTTTTAGTTATAAACGTTTCTTTGAACTAGTTGCTTTGAAATAGCCGTTCAGGCGAAGCATTTGACGTGAATTTGACGGAAAACTAAATTACAAATATTGCCGTGTTATTATGTCGAGAGCACAAGATTTTTGTTCGATTTTAACACTTCGAACTTCTGTCGCACCGCGTATCGTTACATTGCTGTCGTTAAACATTGTCCACAGGTATTTCTTCTTTTTAGAATGACGGTGTTGCCAATACCAATTTCTTCCATGGTATATTCTATCCTTCCGGCGTCGGGGTAGTCTCTTAGTGCAGTGCGTTTCGCAAACTTCGATGCTACGGCCGCGTGAACATTAGAGTAACGACTTTCATAGTATTTCGATGGATACAGTCGCATGATCAACATCCGTTGAGTTGTAGGATCGTTTTATGTCTGCAACTAGCAACATATGCCACAACCGACGTACAGCCAATGAACGAGGGTACCTCATGAGACAGTATTGATCCAGCCAGACGGACTGCAAATTAATATCTGTTGTCAAAACTAATTGGGGAAAAAATGATAGCAGGAGACACGTAAACATTAATTATAGTGACCACTAACCGTGTTCTTGTTCCACAGAATGCGTTTTATACGCTACAATGATATTTGTCAGTCGTTAATGGTTTGATTTTATTATTTTTTCATTTATTTTATATAATCGTTACTATATTTGCTTATGCGAGTGTTATATTGTACTCTGAAAACCGATGAAAAGCGTAACCTGCGCAGTCTATTACATTCGGCAGAACCCGAGTCCAACGAAACGTGGATTACGTTAACGCTTCACCTGCTGGAAGACTATTATCAGTATTTTTGTGGTAGAGAGCTGTACCAAAAAGTAGTTTAAAATTTCTCTTTTAACGCTAAACCTATCGAGCCGGTCAAAAGGACCGGTTTCGTACTTTTTTATTCTAAGATCGTTAAAATTATACTCTTCCGTGGGAATTGGATGAATTATTTTTTTAATCCGAGTACACATTCTAATAAAAATGACGGGAAGGTTAAATAAATGCAGTTTTGTCATTGTCGCGAAGCATCACGGGCCAGTCATTTTTTAGTACTCGGCATGTGTGGTTAGTTGTTAAATAATAGTCGCAAAGTAAATTATTTAATTACGTTGAATTCAGAAGTAAACTGATACAGAAGTAAAATTATTATTGCTGTTGAAAAATTTATTAGATTTTTAATTGTGAGCTTTTTCAATTAAACAATCGCTGGGGGATAATGTGTTAGTACTGAAACAATGTCATTTATGTTCATTGGCAATGCTCTATAAATGGGAAAAGAGTAAATAAAGATCTAATTTTAAAATATGATGCGAAGAAAAATATTTTGTACATAACATAAAACATTATAATGTAAAATATATAATGCAAAATTATGCTTGGAAAAATAAATAATGTGTAATGTTTACTAAATCATTAGAAATATATGTTTACTGAATCTTTGTACCTAAATATAATGCAAAATTGTGCATAGAAAAATAAATAATGTTTATTAAATCGCGCACACACCTAGACCATCCCTATTAAAATAGAGGGGATTTATTTTTATTAATCTATAATATATTTATTATTCACTGTTCAAATTTCCCTCAAGAAAAAGAGGACCTACGATTTGATTTGCAATAATGCCGCACCAAACATTGGCCTTCCAAGCATGTTAATAATCTACGTCTGTCACCCAAATGAGGATTATTATCTGACCAGTAATGGGAACTCCAAGAATTACCATCTTCGTCACTTTTAAATGTAGATTCGTCGGTGAATAAAATTTTGCGACGAAAATCACGCGGTTGTTGTTCTTATCTATACTTGCAAAATGCAGGGCTTTGAAGAAAAGCATTATGATTCAATGTTTGATAGTGCGTCATTCTGTAAGGGTGTCATTTCTGTCCTTTCAACATACGCGAATCTGTAGATTTACTTATACTAAAGGCTCTTTCTATACGCCTTACAGAATCGAGAGGATTTAAATTTGTAAATGCATAAATGTCTACTATTCTTGTATCTCTAACTGGACGGCAGATCTTTTTTTCCTTTGTATGATGAGGCTGAATAGTACCGTCATTTCTGATTCGTTTAGCCAAACGTGAAAAAATTTTTCTGGAACGTGGCAACCAGTGAGGAAAACGTTTCCGCCACAGCGTTTCGGCTGCAAAAAATCTACCTCTACATTCTGTCAGAATTTGTAATGTATCACATACTTTCTTGTTGGAATGTACCATAGCCGAAATTGACAAGTCGAGTCTGAAAAGTCAACTATCGCAGGTGTTTGAGACAATGAGAAAGAGAAATATTAGAAGAAATAGCGAAATATTAAGGACGAGAGTAGGGAAATATGTATAGCGGTGTGCATAATTATACACTCGAAGTGACTTTTACATTGTTATCGATATCTAAATCTTTGGTTTTTTCGAAAATATGCCCTTCAACTGAATATTCAATATGCATACAAGTTACTGAGATTTGCAAAACGCATTTCTTCAATTTTAAGACGAGAATTTATTTTTTTTCGATATTTCAAGCAATAACAAAATTTAAAAAGAAAGCATTTTAGTTATTGCACAATAAACTAATCTCTAAAGATTCGAGTAATTTAATCTAGTTTTGAAAAAATTATTACGTTTTAAAAGGTGTTCGAATACTTTTTGACTGAGATAGTGAATCAAGTTCTGCTGTACCATGCAATCAACGGAAGGGAAAGAAAAGAAAAGCGGAGAGGAAGATATAGAAAGAGAAAAGAGATTATAATGCAAGGACAAAAAGCGGAGGGCAATTAAAAATAATGGATGAAAATTAGACACGAGATAGTAGAATAAAATAAAGAGAAAGCATTTTTACAAGTGCTGTAGGGAAAGTTGTGACGCATTTTATAAATTGTGGTCCTTTGTATTATATCATATAATACTCTATTGTATAATAGTCCTTGTCCTTGATACGAATCGTACTGTGTAGATTACTGAGAGACACACTTATTTATATTAATTATAGCCCGAAAATTGAAAAACAAAGATCAGACTCATTTCTGTGTACTACTGAAACTACCAGCGTTTTTACCTTTTAATTAAACTGCGAATATTCCTGAATTTATGCCACATGCAAATGTGTAAAGCACGTGAAAACGCGTACATTATCCAGAAGAATTAACGTCATATTTTTAAAACAAAGTAGCTCTTAGTCACAGAAGGAAACTGTTTTTCCACTTTAGTTTTTATGTAGTAATCTTCGAAAATTAAAAACCTAAAGGTCCTTTGTTTGATTATAATATTCTATGAAACAGTTTTCATAGTTAAATCGTAGCCGTACATGCATTCCCCACCGAAAGTATTAGAACACTCACAGAAGTTAAATAAATTTCTTCAATTTATTTCAAAGTTAATTGTATGAAACTTTAACAGGTATATAAATTATTATAAAAATATCATAATAAAAATAACTTCAATTTTATAAGATCTCGTACAAGTTGTAGACAATCAGAACACTTTATTTCATGGCATAAAAGAAAATTTAATATAATAAAAATCATAGATTCTAACAAACTATAGTTTATTATTTAACGGATTATAAAAAAAAATTGGACTTGTTGTGTGAAGAAAAAGTTGTCACCCCTGGCCGATCGAGGACGTGGCACTCAGAGTATTGAGGGAAAAACACTCTGACATATTCTAAAAGATACGCGTGTCGAGAGTGTTCTCTGCAAATTTGTGAAAGAAATTCATAAAATTGAAAGAAATATCATATTTTTCCGGGACAAGCGCACGTCCGTGTCGTGCGATACATACAGGGTGAACAAAATAATAATTTAATTACTTGGATAGGTTACTTAGTTTTAATAATGTGGAAGAGTGTCAAAGCAGTACCTTGTTTGAATTGAAAATGCAATTGTTATGATAAACAGAAAATTTTCCCTAAGGTACTATTTTTCGCGTCTAAATTTGTTGTATTTTAAGGTTATGTAAAGGTTATGGTATCATTCTATGTATATAAGTCATTGGATAGACCTTGATCCCAACTATTATGTCATAATGATACGGATACAGATATATATACAGTAATTTCTCCCTAATTCGTGCTCAGATTGCGCACAAAAATGGACAATTTGGGAAGAGGAGATACGATTATTTCGATCATTGCGGCTCGTTTGTATAGTTACCGATTGTCAACAACTATAAAAACGAGATGCAAGGCTCGAATAATCGTATTTTCTCTTCTCAAATTGTCCATTTCTGTGCGCAATCTGAGCGCAAATTAGGGAGAAATTACTAACAAAGACATCGAAGAAATAAAATCACGAAAAGTATGGGCTTGAAACGAATTTTTTGTTCATTATAACTAAACTAAATTTTATTAATTTCATAAAAGGTGAAGATGTGAATAACACACACAATATACTGTTTCTCTTAACAATTTCAATCATTTCAAATTAGCATGGCGATGTTCTTATATTCTTGTGATGTTA